AGAGAGCTGCAGATGGACCTTAGCGTACAGCAGCAGTCTAGCTTGCACAGGCTTTCAGTTCAGTCCCAGTACCATATAAAAAGAAAGATAAGATTCTGTATCTGCATTTGTAGCATATGTTTTGAAATGCAAGTTCTATGTAACAGATTTGTCTTTCAGATTTAGTTTGTTCCCATATCACATTGGAACTTGATACAACATTGGTTACTAAAATAAATTTCGGGTAACGGTAATCATTCAGAAGGATTACCTGGTGACAAATCAGTGAGTCATATAATACTTAACATTCTTAACTGCTCATTGCTTGACTGATTCAACTCCTGATGATAGTGTATCCTGTGTACCAAACTCTACTAATACGTCTTAAGTAAATCTTTATTAATCCTTAATAGGGATCTTGAATAACCTTATGTAGAATTACCTCCATTTTTCCAGTTGGGGAATAAGGCCTAGCAAGAGGAAATTTGCTCAGTAAAAATCAAGAGTTAAATCTGCTTGCCAGGGTTGGAGAGAAGGCTTCAGGTGTAGAAACACTGACTTCTTTTCCAGGGAACCTAGATCTATCCACAGCACCCACAGAGTGGCGCACAACTGCTTACCAGTCCAGTTTTAAGGGGGTACAACACCTTCTTCTGAACTCTTTGGGCACCAGGAACACCTATGATACACAGAACAAAAAAATACTTAGACACTTAAAGTAAATAACTCTTCAAAAAGGAAAAAATCTTTGTCCATCTTCTGCACTCACAGAATGGACAAAACGCTATAGCTGTCTTTTAGCTTTCTTAAACATTGAAGTGTCGTTTAGAAACCAGTGATTCTGATCTGGTCACTTAAAATGGTATGATTCTGTTGTTAGCTCCTGTTAGTATTTACTTATATTTAGAAATTACAAAGAACATTTTTTTTCTCTTTTAGGCTTCTCCAAGAGTTATTGTTGATGACTATTTAGTAGCAAAATTAGCAGATACTTTGAATCATGAAGATCCAACTCCAGAAATCTTTGATGACATACAAAGAAAGGTACTAACAGGTTGTTTCTTGAAAAAATATTTCTGTTTGCATACATGTATTTTTAAAAAGTAGAATAGTTACTAAAATGATGTTAGGGTAGTAATAACTTAATTACAGAAATGTGGATGGGTTTTTTATTTCCTTGAATGGTCAATGAGAAACATTTTTATTTTGAGTTGCTTTGTTTGAGTCTGAAGTAAGAGCCAGATAGTGAGTAGTCTAAGAATTCAGTAATTAGGGGTGCGTGTGTGTGTGTGTGTGTGTGTGTGTGTGTGTGTGTGTGTGTGTATGTATAAAACATGCCTTAAAACCTCATCTTAATATAAGTCTTGAAAATATGTATTTGTTTCTTAGAAAGTACTTCATCCTAGAGCATAAAAATGGTGTAATTTCGTATAACTTATATTAAGGTAGGACACTTTTTGTCATTTGAATGTACAGAATATTTTATCATTAGTTGTTATACCATCCTATTGTTGATACTTTATTTTAAAAGTACATTGTAAAAAAAAAGTGAGGAAGCTTTTGCAATACTTTAGTAAAAGCATTAATTAATGTACATTAACTTTTGAATACCTAAATTATTTTAACAGGTATATGAATTGATGCTACGAGATGAAAGATTTTATCCTTCCTTTAGGCAGAATGCACTTTATGTGCGAATGCTAGCTGAGCTCGACATGTTAAAAGATCCTAGTTTCAGAGGATCAGATGATGGGGACGGAGGTAAGGCAGACAGCGTTTGTGTATGTCTCAGTGTACATTCTGATTACCAGTGACCTCTGAAACATGGTGAAAGACGGATGCTTTTAAACCCTAAATATAAATTATAATATATTTTACATTGTTTAAATGAATGTAGGAGTAAGAGTGTTTTCTTAATATAGGTCAGCCAAAATATTTTTTTGATGATTTCTCTTTTGCTAATACGTAATTATGAGGTGATCCTGTTGTGTGACAGGTAGAGAGTAATTGAGAGTGGTGACTGAGGAGAAAAGCAATGACTCTGAGAGTGTGCCAGGCTGGAGAGGTCTGGACAGGGTTAGAGCTGCTTCTCTTTAATTGTGTCCTTTTCTACTGCTCACTCACTATGGATGAGGCTTTTACTTGAAGCGTCCAGGTCAGTTATTTCTAGCTTTTATCTTTTTTTCAAATGATGATCCTGAGACTGCAATGGACTCATGTGACATGTTGTACTGAAATGTTCAAGGCAGGACCTTTAGGCTCACCCTCCTTCCACTCATAAGCACTGCGTGCAGCAGTTTCTTTGCTGCCAGCCTCCTTTCTGTCAGTTGTCAGTTCAGAGTGATAGCTGTCATCATACCATCAATTCTGTCTGTTAAATGCCTTTTGAGTTAAAGCACAACCATAGTTATGTAAGTGGAAAGGAATGGATTCTGGTGGAGCAAGAGGCCTTCAAACACAAACTCCTAAATCCAGTGGTCACTTTACTGGGATTAAATTCATAGACTGTGTTAAGGACCAATTAGCTATCTGATTTTGAACTTTGTAGTATGTTCTAAATCAGTAAGCCGTGTAAAGATAAAGGAAGTTGGAAAATTTAGATGAACTAATTATTGTAAGGAAGTCTTTTGAGTATGAACATTTACTTTTCCATAAGCTTTTTGGACAAGATCATTAAAAAACAGAGATATGGTAGTACACAAGCCTTTAATTATGATTGTGTAGTTAAGGAAGTTTATTGCTTGAAATGTAGTTTGTTTGCAGGGTGGGGTACAGTAAAGCTGTAGTTTACCTGTAGTTCTTATCGCTACTGGAAAATGTTAGATGTTTTATGAAGTTTGCAAAAGCATCTGTCAAGTTACCATATTAAAATAATTATTGTAAAGTATTTATTTGTATTGATTTCATCTGTTTGGAATTTTTGTTGTTGTTGTTAATTCTGAAGTGAATTTGTTTTGTAATCCAGAATGGAATGAGATAAGTTGAGTCATGGTCAAGTAATCTAAGTACTGTGTGATTTTGCTGCTGCGTACCTATATATTCTGTGTGACTAGCGTTGGCTTACTGGTTCAGTTCATTTTTCTAGCCTTTCAGTCTCAATATTATACTTTAACACATAAATTAAGTTAAGATATTTTGAATTGGCTTTGTTCTAAAGTATGAGCTCTTCTCTCATGTATCAGTTGTTGAGTGACTTCACCTTAAATTAGTGATTGACTGATTGTAGTTTGTAATTATACTGTGTGTGTGTGTGTGTGTGTGAGAGAGAGAGAGAGAGAGAGAGAGAGAGAGAGAGA